GTTTAACTGTTGTTGATTTCTACTCATGGAGTCTCGTGGTCTTCTTTCCTAATTATCTAATGGAGAGGATCTGACAATGATCTTGAGCCAGTCACTTTTCCTCCGGGAAGTAGGCAAAGGGCATACTACTTTCAAAATCTTGCCAGGAAAACTGCAGAGTTTTGTCTAAGTAGTGGTTAGGAGTCAATACAGACTTGAAGGCAAAAAACAACAACAGTTAAACAACTGATCAAATGCCTAATAGCAAAATCCAATATTGGTTTAGAATAGCTGGATCTTGATCTCAATCTTCCAAAGCTTTTTTTTCACTTAAAATTTAAATGTATAGTTTAAAAGTAGCTATAGAAGGCGAAATAAAAACAAGATTCTTCCATAGTTTCACACATTCCCACACCTCATTTTATTGTTGCTGTCACCATGTTCATGTCATTTAATTATATCACATTTTTACTCTAATATAGCAATAGCACTTAGACTTATATACTGCTTCACAATGCTTTACAGCCCTCTCCAAGTGGTTACAAAGTCAACATATTCCCTGACACAATCTGGGTCCTCATTTTACTAATCTGAGAAGGATGAAAGGCTGAGTCAACCTGGAGTCGGTCAGACTCATAATAACAAGCCTCTTTAAAAAAAACTTGTACTATTTTCTTGTGATGGAATCTTTCTTTTCTCCGTTCTGAATGCACAAAGATCAGCAGCATCTTAAACCCCAACTTGCATATACAGTAGCCTCTCATTAACTGAATTTTGGGTTGCTTTAAGCACAACACAGTCTCAATTTGCAATTTGCACTAAATTCAAAAATTCCATTATTCAAACTCACACTAAAGGGGACCTGCTTTATCTAACACGCACTCACGTGCATGTTAGATAAAGACCATAAACAGACAAAAGACAATTGCATTGATGCCAATGGCTCTTAAGTGTGACAAGTCACTCTGTTTTTCTCTTACGAGCTCAGGTGTTCAAGCCAACAAGATCTGCTCAATTCAGTTTTCATACAGAAGTGAAGCCCTTGTTCTGTGTTGCCGACTTTGCTTATTCTTTTTGTTCCTTTTGTAGGGGGGTCTGGATTACCAGCTGAACACATGCTGTGGAAGCCCTGCCTATGCAGCACCAGAGTTAATTCAGGGCAAAGCTTATATTGGATCAGAGGTACTGTAATAGGTGCTTTGGCCTCTAATTTTTTTTTTTAATCAGCCTCTCACCTGAACTCCTTCAGATTTTCCTCCCAGTGTATCACTGTATAAATCTAACAATAGGTAAATGTAAAGGTTGGCTCACACATGCATGCTAGTCGTTTCTGGCTCATCTCCGTTTCAAATCCCAAGAGACAGAGCTTTCCAAAGACGTCTCCATGGTCATGTGGCCGGCGCAGCTAAATGCCGAAGGCGCACGGAACACTGTTACCTTCCCACCAAGGTGGTCCCTATTTTTCTACTTGCATTTTTACATGCTTTCGAACTGATAGGTTGGCAGAAGCTGGGACAAGTAACAGGAGCTCACTCTGTTACTCAGCACTAGGGATTCAAACCGTTGAACTGCCGACCATCTAATCGATAAGAGCTTCCTAAAGAGAGGAAAAAAGAGACTGGCAAAAGTGGGAGTGGTTCTGCTGCTCCTTCTTTTGCCTGTGTCCCTGCCCACAGTTGTGAGTTTGGAGCACTTCGGAAACTATAGAGAAAGGCTGTGGTTTGCAGCTTCCATTTCAAGAATGGGTTTTTCCCTTTAACGTAACTTTTAGCCTTGTAGCAAAAAAGAATATTTGTAGCTCAGGGTTGATATGTGAGGTTCTTGGTTGCTCTCTGTGCTTTCTTTCTTTCTTGCAGACGTTTCGTTACCCTAACTAGGTAACATCATCAGTGCTAACCTAGCACTGATGTCTAGCACTAGCACTGATGACGTTACCTAATTAGGGTAATGAAACGTCTGCAAGAAAACAAGTAAGCTCAGAGAGCACCAAGGAGCCCCCATTTTAGCCTTGTTTCCATACTGATACTATAAATTGTGAACCGCAGAGAAAAAAACTGCTTTTCAATGCTGAGCTTCCATGACCCTTTAAAAAAATGGCAACAATAATCCACCTCTCTCCAAGTCCAACACTACAGATATCCTTGACTTACAACAGTTCATTTAGTAACCGTTCAAAGTTACAACAGCAGTGAAAAAAGTGACTTATGTCGGTTTTTCACACTTACAATCTTTGCAGCATCCCCATGATCACAGGGTCAAAATTCAGATGCTTGGCAAGTGGTTCGTACTTATGACTGTTTCAGTGTCAACGGGAAGCCAGATTCACTTAATAACCATGATACTAACTTAACAAATGCAATGATTCCCCTAACAACTGGGGCAAGAAAAGTTGTAAAATGGGGTAAACTCACAACAAATGTTTCACTTAGCCACATAAATTTTGGGTCTCAATTGTGGCTGTAACTCGAGGACTACATGTATAGTCTTCCTGTTCCCTAAGGTGACATGCTCGACATCTTAAATATAGTGCAGAGAATTGTTGAACCTAAGAGTGTTTGGCAGCCAGTTAGACATCACAAGATTTTAGCCAGTTTGTGTTTCCATGTTCTTCATTGAAAGTGACTCAAAAAAACTGTTTCATAATTGAGTGGGATGTGATGTTGCCATGCCTTCGTTTTTATCACTCAATCTTTTTTTAAAAATCATCTCAGGCAGATATCTGGAGCATGGGTGTCCTTCTGTATGCTCTCCTTTGTGGATTTCTACCATTCGACGATGATAATATGATGGCACTGTATAGGAAAATTGTGGTACGTATCCCATTTTCAAGATTCAGGCTTTTCTGTTTAAACAAGGACTTTTATGGAGTTACTGTGTGAGAGGTCTGTTCCCAAAAGGAGAATTTGGGGCATCTTCTTACTTGGCTGATCTTACGTAAAGTAAGATTGGAAACACCATAGTATAAAAGCTGGAATCAAGTTACAACTGAAATGCTAGTGTTTTCTTACTACTCCAAGATAGTAATACTATATTTTAGCACAAGATGTTTAAATGATCTCTCTCCTCTCCTCTTTTCTCGTGGTGAGAGGCCTAGCTATGAACACCCACATAATCAAATTTGCTTTGGACAGTTTCTTCTCTTGCACCCTGTCCTGGTGTGTAATTCCATTTTTTTCCCTTGTAATATGTCTTGCCTTTTCAGGCTGATATCGAGAAATGGGAAGATTATGGAATGAAATGAAGGGTACTAGCCTCCCGTAGAGTGGAAAACGTGGTTATTTCTAGACATTGCAGGGTTTTTTTTTTTTTTAAAAAAGTGTCATTTCCTATCCCCTAGCTGCCTAGAGGAATCAAAGCCATCCGGGGTGAAACAGGCAAAGTTCACTATTAAAAGACATTAGATTGGGTAGCATACTGAATTTCAGTTGGGATCAATTATTTTAGGTAAAAGATGGTGAATGGCATTCAGATTCAACCATTTAAAAACAAAGCAACCGTGACTGGGTTCAATTCATATGCCTTGCATTTCTTTTCATTTGCTATACATCCTGTGATTCACTTATGCACAGTTGCCTAAACACTTCAGCTGATAGTCTCAGCTTCAGCCGAACAATTCCAGCCAGTGTAATCATGTATAGGTAGTAACTTATTATCTGGAGTATTCTTCTTGTTGTTCCTCAATAAGCCCCTTCAGCAGACAGATTACATGCTGTGCATGCAGATAGTCTCCAGTTCTCTCCCAGAATAATTTGTAATATATAGAAGACATTGGACTTTTCTCTCTCCCTCTCTCTGTCTCTCTCTCCCTCTGTCCCCCCCCCCCCTTCACTTCTATGTTTTTAGAGCGCGGACCACAACATGATTGATAAATAAGCAGCTTGAAAACAATGCAGTAATAATTAGAAACCAGCATTTTTTCATTGTTTAACTGGGCATCTTTTTTTCCCCTCTTGCTTTAGGAAATGCAGTACACATAGGACGTCTTTAGCAAAGTATTTGACAAAATCCGCTCTGAGATTCTCATTAGCAAACTAGCTATGGGGTGAGATGGTATGGCAGTTAAGGAGAAACATAGCTCGCTCACCCAGGACTTAAAGGGTGTTCTTCAATTATTTCTTTTCTGAGGTTGAGGTGTCAGGCAGGATGCTTTCAAATCTTATTATGGGCCTAATGCTCTTTAACTTATTTATAGTTAAGGATCAATGTGTAAGGTACATGAGACAGAAATGCCAATAAAATGAAAATAAGTAATAATTAATCTCCAATATTTGTGGGCCTATCCAATTGCACTCACTATTAACATATTTAAATGATGTTGATGAAGAGATAAAGGGGATGCTCCTGAATTTGTGAATGACATTAAATTGGAGGAAAAATTCATTCAACTGTAATGTCTTTTTTTTCTACAGAGGGGAAAATATGATGTCCCCAAATGGCTTTCACCTGGCAGTACCCTGCTTCTGCAACAGATGTTGCAGGTAAGCCTCAGACACAAGAAAAGGTCTAACTGCATCACAAATATTCCAAGATATCCATGTTTAGTTCAACTCTTCCCACTCCACTTCTGACAATCTTTAGTTACAGAGATCCCCTTCCATTGTTCTGTTAATCTACAGCTAGTATGTAGGTATTCTGCCTTTGAATATGGAAGTTCTATTACACTATTGTAGTTAAAAGTGAGTAGGCCTGTTTCTTGTACAGTTGTTCAACTAGCTCAGATAGAATAATTTACTTTGAAAGGCAAAACCATTCAGTGGCCTCACGAATAAGTGCTAAAATGCCTGAAAAACTATGAATGCTGTTCTTAACAGCACTGACTTCTCTTAGTTACTGATCAGTGCTATGATACCTTTTTCTAATCCCAATAGCGGTAGTCCTTGAGTTACGACCGCAATTGAGCCCAGAATTTATGTTGCTAAGTGGGAAATTTTTTAAGTGAGTTTTGTCCCATTTGATGACTTTTCTTGCTAAGTTAAGTGAATCATTGCAGTTGTTAATTTAGTAACATGGTTGTTAAGTGAATCGGGCTTCCCCATTGTCTTTGCTTCTCAGAAGGTCGCAAAAGATAGTCACATTATCCCAGGACACAGCATAAAATATGACTCAGATGTCAAGCATCCGAATGTACCTAACATGACCATTGGGATGATTGTAACAGTCATGAGTGTGAAAAATGGTCATAAGTCACTTTTTTCAGTGTCATTGTAACTTCAAATGGTCACTAAATGAACTGTTGTAAATCAAGAGCTCCCTGTATGTGTGTGTGTGTTTGTGTGTATGTATGTGTGTATGTATGTGTGTGTGTGTATGCAGTGTCTATATTTTAAATTGTGTTTCTTTTCTTGACCACAAGGTGGACCCAAAGAAACGGATTATGGTGAAGCATCTTTTAAAACATCCTTGGCTCATGCAGGGCTATTCCTTTGCTGTCCTGTGGCAAAGTAAATATCCGGTGAGTTGATTAACTTATATTAATGAGAGGATATGTAGGAGAGCCTAGTTTGATATGATTAGTGAATAGTTTAATCACCAATTGCAAAGGAAACATACTATTAAAAATTCTTAGATTAAGAATTTAAAAACATTCTGAATAACCCGATGGCTACCATGCTATTCCTATATTGAAAATTCTCTGCTGAACAATCTTGTAACAATTTTGTAACAATATCTTGAGTTTTTAGAGAGAGAGATACCATTATTCTACCAGTTGCTATTACAATCTGTCAAAAAGTATGTGACCCTCGGATTTTGGGAAGAGCAATAGAAAGTATTGATTTCAGCTCTAGCTTTCTGTTACATCTAGTACTAGGCTATTTAATGCAATTTAAAAGCTATTCGATATCAATCAAACTGGGCAGTTGTCAAAAGAAATGTTTTTCCAATGAACATTTCCATGGCCTCGATTCTCTGAAGACATGATTGTAAGGAAACTACCTTGTATATCAGATTAGGCTGCTTGGCCAGCATTCTCTGTTCTGATTAACACACATTATCTTGGGCAGTAAGCACAGTTTTTAAGAAGGCCCTCAGGGTGCTGTGTGGAGAGCCATTTGGATATGCCATTTGAAATTAAGGACTTTATCCTACTGTGCCCTCCCCCCCCCCAACCCCACCCACAATGTTTACCTTCTCTTACCTGTCAGAACTGGCATTCTTGGTTTCTCTAGCTCAACGACACCCAATCTTCTGGGTATCAGGGACTGGTTCTGTGGACATACATTTTTTTCTGCAGACAGGAGGGGTGGGGGGGTTGCATGCTGCCTGTATCCTGTGGATGGGGCTTCGCTTGTTTGTGTATCCCGGTTTCTGGCAAAACTGGTGCCATTTTAAAAAAAAGATTTTATATTTTCAAGTCTTAATTGTAATATATAAATGTTTTCCCTCCCAGCTTGGGTGCCTTGATGAAGATTGCATAACAGAACTTTCTGTCTTTCATAAATGTAGCAGACAAAAAATGGCAGATATAATTTCAGAGGTAATGTTTCTTTTTAATCATTGTTGGAGAGTCTAGGGGAGTAAAAATGCTTTCGTTCATGTATGTAAAGCTTGATATTTAGAATACATTTTGACCTTGATTTAAACTCGTAAATACGTTTGTAGTATAAACCTTTGAGAGCCTTTTCTGGAAGTTTAGAAAGTGTTCCATGTAGACTGACTTCCCATGCTCAAAACTTAGGATTTCAAAGAGTATCCTTGGAAATTTGTTTGGGGATCCTCTATGTCAGGGGTGTCAAACTCACGTCATTATGGCGGTGTCACGTGACATATTGGGACTTATTTTCTCCTTTGCTAAACCAGGTATGGGCGTGGCCAGCATGTGATGGATCCGCCCCCCGGGCCAGGAGTTTGTCAGCCCTGCTGTATGTCAACTGTTAAATATTCATTTATTGGGCATAGCAACTGGGAGGAAAGTTTGGTGTCCATTTCAGATTGTATTCTTAGATTCCACAGATCAGAAAGTTAAAAACTCGAATAAGAAATTTAAGCAATTGAGATTAAGTTCTTCTTCCACAAACAGTTTCTGGTCCAATCTCTATTCTGCTTCTGTTCTTTTATATGTGTTTAATTTTATTCATTTAAGATTCTAGACCGAACAGCCCCGCTCCAAGTAGTTTACAACTCCTATATTACAATATTAAGTTTAAAACTGTATAGACATAGCAACCATAAATCTGTCATCCAAAACCCAAAATCTATTAAATCACACAGTTCCATTCTGATTATAGCAACAGAGAAACATGTTTATAAATACTGTGGTTTTTCTCCTCATGTATTCAGTAGCACTTCCCTTGGGAGGAACATCACAATTCTGTTTCATCCCCCATTCAATGAGAGGAAAGCCAGATTATTATTGCTCTGTGAAATCCTGATAGAAAAAGGGGTGCATGCTATTTTAGAGATGGCAGAGCTACCACCAACCAAGCTCACCCTTGGGATTCCAGTGATAGAAGCCTTTTCAGAGGTGGAACCTATATCATGGCTTTCAACTATCTCATTGGAAGGGAAAATTCTATCCAACTTAGGCAATCTTAAAGATATCCAGGAACTAAGTTACGTATAACTTTAAAGGTAATGACCAGAACTTTGAATTACACTCGGAAGCTAATTAGCTTACCAATCGAAGCAGTTACTGCAGGAAAGGTGTCAGGTGGGCAAAGTAACTGAGCCCATAACTACCCAAGTGTGCTGCATTATGGACCAGCATAGCTTCCAAATGGTTCTCAAGGGCAGCCTCATGTAGAGCAGATTGCCATAATCCATCTGTAAACCCACCAGCTTTCTACCTGAACCAGAACATTGCAATTTGAACCAATCATGGCCTAGCTGGCTTGATACAATCTGTTGTGAGTGCCAGGCTGCAGACCAGACATTCACATCTGGCCAGTTTATAGCCCAGACAGGTACAGATATAGAACCCACGTTTTCATGAAGTAGATAGGTTCTCTATCACGCATACAAAAAGCAATCCCAGCCCCTTCCTCTATTTGGGCTATGGAATAGCAAGACGATGATTGCTGGACCAAAATTAGATTAAGAGGAGATTATCATTGTTTCCCAGAGTCTCAGATTAAATCTTGGAATTTAAGGGGGGGGGGGGAAATCCAGGAAGATTGAACTTGAAGAAAATATGCTTGAGGTAGGAGGAAAAGAAAAGGTATTTGTTTTGGTGTGTGTTTGTGCTCTAAACGTCTCCTATCATTTCTCTGTGCAAATTCAGTAATTGTATGGACTTTGCCCTTATGTATCAAGTAATAATTCCACTTTGCTGTGATTTGAAATAATAACGTAAAATCCCACTCAAAGATCTTTACACAATGAACTATTATTTTTTATTTGTAGCCAGCACCATCTTGTGGTCTACCAAGAGCATGTCTTTTCTTTTGCAATTCTCTTTTAAGCTGACCCCCCCCCTCCAATAGCCTGTACTGTAGTATTTATTTTCCTCAACCAGGAATGTTGGCTTTAATGTCTAAAACTTAAAATAGTGCTGAAGATTCTGCTAAATTTTAAATGTATATAAAGTTTTGTTTTGTTTTTGATGGGGCTGGGTCTCGTGTCTTGACCATGTATGGTCAAGAGATATTTCTAAGATTTCTGTTTTCTCTCCTCTCAATATTTTAATCATCAGAAAGAGTACACATACTAGGCTTAAGTGGGTAGATACCCGTGAGGACCTCTGGAAATTAAGTTGTGGTTGGTGGGATTAACAAGCCCCTCCTACTAAGTAGAAGGGAGAGTCAGATGTATGACAAGTCAGAAGGCTTCTATTTTATGAGCTGAATTGTGGCTTCCACTACACGGTCCCTGTTGTGTTTTTGGGTACATACATTAGATGAAGTAATGGCACATAGCGCTTTGTCTCATAAATAATTGACCTTGAACTTACTTCTGAATACACATTGGGCTTTTTGGTCCTCGTTAGCATGAACCAGCATCATTTCTCCAGCTACAAACATTTGGATCTGACCACCTTTACCTCACTTTCTTGCTTGAATGAGGCTCAAGTATAGTCTTATCAACTTCAGAGAAGCTTGACCAGAATCTCAAGCTGATGTTTATTTGTTTGTTTGTTTATGGAATGCCTCTTGCATGGAACAACTTTCCATGAAAATTTTTAAAAATGACTGGATATCTGCATAAAGAAAGTAATTGTGATGCTGTATAAAGGTACTTAAGTCATCCACATTGTCAAGGACAAGATAACCATTTCCTTGAACTCAGTTGTCATTGGAAATGAAATATCCACATGCCAAATATTTCTGAGACCCTTGTATGAAGATGAAATTCATTGGCACACCAAGAAAATATATTATTTAGCCCCCTTGTTAATTGAATTATTCAATTTATGAAGTCTTAAAATACAAATATCTGGATTTTTGTTTGTTTGTTACTTTTTGGTCCAATCAACAATCCCAAGATACAAAATTCTGCTCCCCTAAAGTAACATACACATTAGTAGCTATTGATTCTCTGAGGCAAGGAGTCATTTGAGAGAGAAGAATCTAAAATAACGGTTTGGGTGCTGCAGAGTTTCTGATTTGAAAATTACAGAGCACACGCACGGACCACATGTTTAGCAATGCCAAATTAAGTTTTACTTCTTTCAAACCTTTGCCTTTTAAAAATGCTTTCCATGTCTGTTGTAATAAAATGCTGCATTTCCTGCAGAAGATTCTGGTTAGAGTGGCCACCTGTTCATTTGAGATGCTAGTCAGGCTTATTAGCTTACAGAGGATATTAAGAGCACCCTTTAGGCTATCTTAAAATACCCCAAAGAGTCTTTTGCATCTGTATTGGTAGAAATGGATAATAGTGGTAGATACACCTTTTCCCAAATACTGGTCCCATTGTTTAGAACAGTCTATTTTTTTCTTGTTGAGTTTTCGCAAATGTATTGGTCTGTGCACTTCATTGCTGGTATGCAGGCACTAAATTGCATGATTTGGAAAATCATGCAAACCTAAGTTTTTAACTGCTTAGGCTTCATCTTCATGGCAATCAGCTGCTTATTTCATGGTAAGAATTTGCATATTTCATGGCAGATTGACTTGAAAAATACAGACTGTTTTATGATTATGAAATTAAAACTAAAGAGGCAAGAGATAAGACATGAATCTCAGAGATTTTGTGATCATAAGGTAGGAGTGGAATTAATGAGAGTTTTAATTCCACTAAATGTATCTTAAATGAGCAAACATGCCTCTAAAGGGCCACGATTGGGGGGGTAAGAAATTCTATAAAATTATTCTATAATTTAATTGAAAGACTGCAGAATAATAAAGCAGCTTTGGCTTTTGAGGCAGGTCATAGATTCAAATTCTGAATGTCTCTTTCTGGCAAGGGGGAGTGGGGAGTTACTGGAGGAGGTCTGAAGTGTGAGGCGTTTTTCTCACAAGCTGGGTTGCTGTCTGTCTTTTCAAGGAAGGGTGATGACCTGTGGCATGCATTTAACTGAAAAGGGCTTAAAATTCTGAAATGTAAGTGAGTTTTGGGTAAATCATTTTCCCCCCTAGAAACAAGTAACCAGACTGTATGTTTCTTTATTAGTGGAAATATGATAATGTATCTGCAACATACCTTTTGCTTCAATACAAGAAGACTCATGGTAAACCTGTTCGCCTGAGGATTCCTTCTCTGGTAGGAGAATGTATGAGCAACACACCATCCAGAGAAGGAAAAGTATGTATTCTATTTTTATTTGTTTTATTTCTTTTCTTTCTATTTTTCTTTCTATCTATTTTACCTGTATTCCAATAATAATTACCGGGCGGGTGGGGGTGGGATGTCTTCCGGTGTTTGCAGTGTGGCTTGAAAATGCTCTGAATTGTGAACTAGTCAGCCTGCCACATATTCGATTTAAGTCATGGCTTAGCAAATCTAGCTGTAATATCTACAATCCAGGGCATTGTAGAAGGCTCCAGATACTGCTGTATTAAAACTAAGCTGTTTTAAGTCTCTCTGTGGGTGTGGGTGTGGGTGTATGGGTGGTTTTGAGCCATTTTTGATTCCTTGCAGGTGCCGGGACAAGTGCCTGCATTTTGGGGCAAAATCTCAGTAGTAGTTTCCGTTGCTTGCTTGCTTCCTAGGGCTGAGAGAGGGTAGCTCAAGATCACCCAGCTGAGTTTGTGCTTCAGGCAAGAATAGAATTCATGATCTCCTGATTTCTGCCCACTGCCTTAACCTCTATGCAAAATTGGCTCATTGTTTTAAATCTTGGCAAGATCAAAATATCAAACCATTTGCTATCGTTGTTCCTTTCCAGTTGGACAACCATTACCCAGGGGTTTTTTTTAAAAGGAGTTGCAATTCTCTATGTACAGGGCAAAGATCTCACTACACAATCCATCTTTAACTATACCGAAGTCAAAGTGCCAGGCTGGTTTATTGTGCCAAGGGACCATCAGAATCATAGACAGTTATGGATTTTTGTCTGTCTATACATTACTTCTGAAAAAAAATTCTTTTCTACAGATAAAAAAAGCCCTGAGTTATGAAGATGGTCCAGATAATAAAGAACTTCCCTACGTATTTGGCTCCATGGAATTTCTAACATCTTTTGATGAAGGTCAGCTTATGCTAGGAAATACACCCAGACCTAAGCAGGTATCTATAAATATTGACCTTTTATTCTAATTTATTTTCTCAGCAGTGTATTTAAGCCATGTCTAGCTTTTGGTTTATACTCTTTCAAAAACATCATCTACTTGAATCTTTGCTTTTTATAAAATTGCTTCTGTATGTAGGTATTTTACATTGATTTGACTTACATCCTGCCTTTCTTGGGGAACTCAAGGCAGTATACATATTTTCCCCATAACAAACCTGTGCAGTAGCATCAGTTGAAGTGGAGAAAGTGGTCCAGGGTATGACTATAGCTGAGGATAAATTTTAGGATATGGGATTTCCCACTTCTGGTTCAACAATCCTAACCACTACACCATGGTTGCTTAACATATCCCAGCTTCAGGGGTAACAGCAAAGATTTAGGCAGGTGGAACCCGATTTCCATGAGAAAGATCAGAGATCAAATTCTTGGCTTCTCCCAGCAGGAGAAATTTGTTTGTAACCCTGAAAAATACTGAACTAGACACACCCATAGATTGACAGATGGTTAATGGCAGTCTTCTGTAAAGGGCATCTCAAGTCAGGAGAAGTAGGTATCTTCTAATCAGCCCCTGGATAGGAGGACAGCTGTAAAGTACACTGAATTTTCTTTTAGAAGTTCAGGGTAAAAATATATATATGTATATTGTAGATTATTATTGGATTATCTGGGTAATATGGTGCAAGAGCCAAATAGATATGGAAATAAGTGTGACAAGCTACCATATTTTTCAGAGTATAAGACGTACCAGAGTAAGACGCACCAAGGTTTTGAAGAGGCAAATTTAAAAAAAAGTTTTTGTCCTCCCCAGCCCCCAGGAGTACTCTGCAGGCTTCAGCAGGGCTGGGGAAGGGAAAAAATGCCCGTTTTTTTGCAAACACAGGAGCCCTTTTCCCTTCCCCCAACCCTGCAGAAGCCTGCAGTGCTTCTGGGGCTTGCAGGAAGAGAAAAACAGCCCATTGTTTGCCTGTTTTTCACAAAAACGAGGGTATTCTTCCCTTCCCCCAGCCCCGCTGAAGCCTGCACTGTGTTTCTGGAAGCTGGAGGAAGGGAAAAACACCTCCGTTTTTGCAAACGGGGCTTCGAGAGGCCACAAATGGCTGTATTCGGTGTATAAGACGCACCAAAATTTCGAAGAGGTAAGTAAGAAAAAAAAGTTTTTGTCCTCCCCAGCCCCCAGGAGTACTCTGCAGGCTTCAGCAGGGCTGGGGAAGGGAAAAAATGCCCGTTTTTTGCAAACACAGGAGCACTTTTCCCTTCCCCCAACCCTGCAGAAGCCTGCAGTGCTTCTGGGGCTTGCAGGAAGAGAAAAACAGCCCATTGTTTGCCTGTTTTTCACAAAAACGGGGGTATTCTTCCCTTCCCCCAGCCCCGCTGAAGCCTGCACTGTGTTTCTGGAAGCTGGAGGAAGGGAAAAACACCTCCGTTTTTGCAAACGGGGCTTCGAGAGGCCACAAATGGCTGTAT